TTCAACGTGTGCAGATTAGAGGCTGAAGCTGGTTAAAATCTGCCGCTACCTGCTCTCTCTGTCATGTAAACACACGTGGAAGTCTCACATTCATCTAAACGAGGTGGAAATGCTTAAAATCCTCATGTGGAAACGTCCTTCCGCTCTTCCCTAACACCGGCTTCCTCCTCCGGTGTCTCCGCCAATCAGAGCGCGAGTTACTAAACCACTGTCGAATCACAGGCAAGCGTGTTGGAGGAAACAAACATGGCGGCTCGCAGAGGCCGTTGGCTGCGGGAAGGTTGTTTGTAAAGTGAAAGGTGCTCCGAGATGCTGAGCCGGACGATAAAGCAGGTCAGTGACGGCAGTGTCGGTGCTGCGCAGCGACTCACCGACACACGAAGTCTTCATCAGACAGACGACGAATCATCTTCATCAGACAGCGCGCAGTGACGCGTTAGCAGCCACTAAAACGCGTACAGGTAGCATGAAGGCACAGCTGAGAATAGCGGCGGTTTCATATTGAGATATGCAACATGTTTATAACGAAGGAAGCCCATTTGTGCCGCTTTTTAATGACGTCTTTATTTCATGAGAAAGCTGCAGGAACAACAGAGAGGTGGTCAGCGAGCATCAGTGTTGATGGAGAAGCGCAGAGCACTGTGGCTCACAGACAGCAGTGGGGGTCAGAGCACATTTGTGAAGTGAAAGCATGCTGTGGTGTATTGTTTTAGAGACGATGGCAATGACAAAAAGACAGCTGAAGATGTTTAGATGTTCACTGCGAGTGAGCAGGATGGCGAAGAGTAGATGTGAGTCCATCAGAGGTCAGAGTTAGAGGAGAGAGGCTGAGAGGGTTTGGACATCTGTCGAGGAGGGAGAGGGGATATCTTGGAGCTGCAGGCAGGAGGATGATGGATGTCGTGAAGGACATTTTCAATTCAACTTTATTTGTACAGCAGAAAATCACAACAACAGTTGCCTCGAGCTGCTTTATACTGTAAGGTCGAGACAGTACAGTAATACAGAGGAAACAGAAAACCCAGCAGTCACATGACACCTGTGAGCAAGCGCTCACCTCCGGCATCTCCAAGCTTAGGGAGGGGCAGCCGTCTGCTGTGACTGGTTGGGGTGAGAGTGCAAAGACGCGCTGTGGAAGAGAGCCAGAGGTTATTAATAACTAATGGGTGTAGCGTTTGACCCAATAAACGTACGCTGGAGCGATTATTTTGACAGCAACACTTTTATTTGGAGTTTGTGGTTTCATGCACAGCC